AAAATATATACACGTCACGTGGAGTAGGCGCTACAATCCCTGATCCCACAAATCTGTCGGTGGAGTTTTCCGAGAGCATTTATTTTGTATACATATTTATTGTCCAATCAAAAGGATGGCTCCCACCGCTTAAATTTAAAAGTTAAGAACCATCTGAGCTTCTTTCGAGGATATATAAGAAAAAAAAATCAATGGATGATTTTAGAAGGTGTAGCAATTTTCGACCAGAAGAAAACGAAGAGGTGGGAAAATTTCGACCTGAGAGCATAAAAATAAGGTTCCTGAAGTAAAGCCTATTTTTGGCGGTCACCTGTGAGTGTAGATGAGCAGGGATGTTTTTCACAGAAGAAGCAAACAAAAAAAGAGGGTGAATCAAGTGAAAGCTGTGAATAGAATTGTGCTCTAAAAAAGAAAAAAAGTTAAAAGTTCTAATGACGTAAGTTTATTTGCCGAAACCCTTCTATGTTTTTCGCCTTTCAAATAGGTAGGTGCATTTTTTAAGTTTGTGTTGAACCTTATTTTAAGTTTTTGTATTACTGTCTCAAAGTTTTTTTTTTCCATTGTTAGAAGTTTATATTGTATATCTTTTTAAGTGCCTATTAATTCTTATTGTGATCTGTTATCTGGCCTTTACTAAAAAAAACGCATAAAAGGAAATTTGTGTACAAGCTTTTTTGTATAAATTGTATTTTTTATATTATTTTTCTTTGTTTATGTAATAAATGAATGTTACTTTCAAATTTCACGTAGTAGTTTTCAAGTCTTGTTTATTATTGTATGCACCTTTTTTTCTATAATACGGATAAGAGAGCTGACATTCACTGGTCCCCCCCCCCCATTTTCTCTCAGGAAAAACTTCCTTTTACTAATAAGGCACATAAATAGAAAATTTTGCACACTTATTTGTAAACCTTGTATTTTGTTGTATTGGTTTTAGGTCATTGTAATTAATGTTTGTTTCTTTCAAATCTCACATCGGAGTTTTGAGTCTTGTTTGTTTACTTACGCGCCTTATACAAGGAATAAGAAAAGTGACGTTCTCCCACTCTCTGCCCTGTATATAAACATATCCTTTAGTTTGCTGTTATGGCAGTTCAGTTAATTGCAGCATTGTAACGTTTGTTGAACTGGAATGTTTTCTTGTGTTGAATGGAGATATATATACATGGGATATGTTGTTGTGGAGATATTGTGGTGGGGGTTATATGCGATGCGACGTGTTGTTTGGTTAGGACTTAAATGTCGGTTCGCCCAGGCACTAAAAAGTTTTCCCGGGGACACATCTTGTCAATACGGTATCCTGTGGTTGGGTGGGGCGGGGAGAGAGATGGTTTAAGTCTTTTCCTTTTATACTGCTTCATACAACGCCACCTGGTGAGTGTTAAGAGATTTTCTCTGGGGACAATGTAGGGTAATCCCACAACAGTTTCTAACCAACAAGTTCAAAATATCGCAAGGTTCTCCAAAGAAATAATCATATCAAAACTGTAGTCGTTCTTTTATGATCGTATACATACTTCAACTGAATAGTCGCATAAGTATAAAAATAAATAAATAATTCGATACTAATAACGTTGTTATTGATTTCTTGGAATAACTGATTTTATTAAGAATTGCTAGAAATTAAATATTTTATCGTCATGTTTTTTTGTTTTTTTTAATGATTTGCCTTTTCTCTCCTCGTGGTGTACAGTCCTCACTTTCAGAATCGTTAGTGAATAGTAAAATAGCACACAATTCGAAATAGCACGGTTGAAATCGAAAGAGTTAAAACTGCTATTAAAACAGTTAATTTGATTAATATATAGAATATAAACTCCTATATTTTAAGTCCAATAATTGAGGCACATACAAGTAAGAGACGTCTACAAACAAATCTTACTAAATTCAGTAGAAAATTGCTGTGAAAAAATCTTTTTACATTTGTGTACAAACACGGCTTTAAAATAAATAAGTGATTTCTGGAAACTGTTTGGATAGTCACGCGATGTGCTTTCAACAACGTCCAGGTAGTTGAACTTCAACTGACCTGGAAATGGGTCAGAGACTGGATTACTGAATACATTCCCGCGCAAAACCCAGATAGTGATTTGGAGCCGACCGAAAGCGATAAAAATGGCTCGTCGGCGACCAGGTCTTCCACAACACAGTTAGTGAAGGACAGTCGGTGAAAGAGCATCAGTGAAAGAGACAGTCAATCAGATCTGCAACGACACAATCAGTGAAGGACAGTCGGCGAAAGACAGTCAGCGAACAAAACCAGACCTCGATCAACAACATAGACACACATACCATGACAACGCGTATGTCAGCGATGATTCATCTACGTACAACACCACGACGAATGTAAGTCTTGTCTCTCCCCTCTCTGTCCAGTGTGTTTTAAAACTACTGCTATTGCACGCAATCAATCCGCAGTCACATACATGTTTCATTAGCGTGTGCTTCATACGCGCGCGCGCACACACACACACACACACATATTGGTGTGCCATACGACTTAATTTCCTCAGTTGGAGCAAAAACACTTCGAAACTTTAGAGACTCACTTGAGGCAAATCATTTCGATAAAATCGAACTTTTAGTCTCTTCATGGCCACTGCAAAGAACATTGATTTTTAATCTGTAAATACATGTATATCTGCCTGTATAAATATTATTTCTATATTTAGTTTGGTATTCTTCCTTCTCTGCGAAGATCATTTCTTTGCATTGTATAAAAAATCGTGTTGTATTGATGGACATGACACTCGATTTTTATTTTCCCCCTAAATTCCGGCTAAACTGACCCACACTTTCTCAGTTTCATCTTTCAATTAAGTAAGCGCATTTTTTTAAAAGAATGTTTATTTTGAACCTATTTTAAATTGTGTTTTTTAAATATTTTTCAAAGGGAATTATGTTGTACATTCTCTAAATATATTTTAATTGTTAAAAATTTATTCATTTTGGAGCATTTTTTAGAAGAATTTGTTTTGTTTTCTCGAGATGTTTTCGATTATTGAAAGTTTGTTGAATAATATATATTTTTTATTAGCCAATAATTCTATATTTTGTATTTGTTATCTCGCCTTTAATAATAAGGCACACTAAATGAAATTTTTGTGCAAGCTTTTTTGTAAAACTTGTATTTTGTTCATTTATCTGTATGTCATTGCAATAAATGTTTGTTCCATTCAAATTTCGCATGGGAGTTTCGAGTTTTGTTTGTTTTCGTATGCGCCTTGTGGCAGACTTCACCACATTAATTTAACTTTATATTAGGAAACAGGGCTGACGCAGAAAAGGATAAGCAAAAGACATTGTTACACATAAAATATGTATTTAAAAAGATGTACAATATCAAACAACGATGTCAAAGAAAGCATATATTTAAGTAAGAAAAGGTTGAAATAAACAAGAGTTGTCTCTCTTTAACTGTTATTTTAGTATTTCAAAGTTCACTGGAATAATGTTCATGAGAGTTTCTTATAATGACTGTTCTTAAAAGATTTGCTGTGTTAGAAAAGATTATGTGAGTATATATAAGATATGTTCAGCATGTGAGTGGTCTGTGTGAGTGAGAAGGTTGGCGCATGGTTTCAACTATCGTGGATTCGTTTGGCAGCTGAATTCTTACTAACTAGCTAAGAAAAATTTCTGCTTAAATAAGTGACTATAGGCTCCAGATCCTTGCGCGGGAAGACTTATTCTTCACGTGCAGACGACCTGATTGGTTGGTATAGACCAATCAGCGAGCGAGATTTGGGGAGACTTAAGAAAGCTTCTGTGATTCGTTTCTCCCAAAAGTGCACAAAACTGACTACATAAAAATAGAGCGATTACAAAATTGTCTATAATAACATAGTGGTGATTAATTAACCAATTAATGCTTGGCGTTGTATGTGATTTGTATTTGTATGTATGTATGTATGTATGTATGTTCGTGCGTGATAGACTCGCACAGCCTCATACAATATTCAAGATAAGAGAGGCAATGTTCTTTCTTCTCTCACTCTCTTCCTGAAAGAATCCTTTTACTGTTTCGTGTTATACACTCAAAAATACGCTAATTACAACAAAATGAACGAATTAACGCTACCTTATTTAAACTACTATAATGCTAAATCTCTGCCTTTTTGGGCTTTGAGTTACATAATTAAGTCCACTTCCAGGGCCTACTCTGACTAAGTAGTACTTCTCCTTCGCTAATGACCTAAGGTTAATCTCTGGCGTCCCCAAAAGCCAAAAGTGTAAGTGTCGAGGAAGCTGGACTATTTGGGGCACCTTGTCCTATGTACGCATGGGTATCTAAATTAAACTTGACCTTGTATGGAATTCCGTTCGAGTGGGCGGATAAATATTAAATGAGTGATGACGTTTTAATGATGTCATCGTGATGTTATATGACGTCATTATTCAGTATAATTTATTATATATGTATATGAAATAGATAATCGCATTGTAAAATTGAACTTTTTCTAGCCTGGAGTAAAAATGCCATTCTGCCAGAATAAACTGCATTTGTAATTTGAGGCAAAAAATAATTTGTCACCTTACCACACACACTATTGTAAAATAATGAATGGCGAATATCTTGACGTTTTTTTTTTTAATTCATTCGTCTTCTCGAACATTTTAAACTGGGTGCATATATTCGCACAACACAGAAAAAAGTCAGTTGCGATATAAATTTGAAAAACCTTTATTAATATTAGAAATCTCTTATTATATTTAAATTAAACTTACTTAATATAAATAATTCTAAAGTATATTAACTTTCTGAGATACAGTAAATTACTAAAAAAATGAGTTCAGACAGTTTTATTGATAATTTTACGATAACGCGAAGGTTCATCAATCGCGTTATAGTGAAAATGTCAGCAGCAGCAGCTGCATGTCTGGATCCGGAAGTGACGTCATCTTGCAGTAATGGCGGATTGAGATGGCGTATTTCTAATTTTGACCGCAAATGAAAGAGTGAGAAAATATTGTTTGGGAGAGATAGAAACCGGAAAAAAATGAATGTCGTGCAGGCTGTCAAGCAGTACATATCTAAGATGATCGAGGAGAGTGGACCAGGGATGAAGGTATTGCTGATGGACAAAGAAACTGTAAGTAAATGAACCGTTTTTGTTCGGCTACACTACAGGGTGAATGAACGAAAAACCTCATTATGGCGAGTTGTTATTGAGAATCATTTTTTTTTAAATTATTTCCTTCTTTTTTCCTCTAAAAATCTACATATCTAATACTTTGTCTTAATAATAAAAAAAAACTTGGTTTCGCTTTACGTATCAAGAATATTAGCAGCTGACAGTCTGTTAGTGTTAAGTGCTTAGCTACAGGTTTACTTTCTGTTTAATGTTTACGATAAAATATTCCACCTGATACTTTTTTTTTTTAAACTATGGTTTTGTTTCGTTGTTAATCAAGTTTTATGTAAAAATGATCTAATTGATAATTGATTTAGCTAGCTTAAGAAACAGCTTTGTTTTCTGCCATTTCACAAAAACTATTGAATTCCAGAATAATACATAAAAAAAAATTTAAAACAAAAACGAGAGAAAGAAAAAAAAAACGTAGAGGTTTTAAAAGCTCGATTATAGCGAGAAAATTCTACATTAATTTATTGTCAGTAATTTAAACAACTTGTTTTTGTTTTTTTTAATTCATTTTAAAGCTCCTTGCTTTTTAGGGTGACATTTAGTTTCATTATGTTTACTTTATTGTTTTGGGTTTTTTTTTTTTACCATCATAAAAGAAAAAACTGATTGTGGTCTGCTCTCACATTGCAAGACACGCCTCCCTAAAGTAAACTAGTGTTTACAATATTTACCCACCCTGCTTTTTAAACTGATGTCGCTTTAAAATAAAATAAAACGTTTAGATTGATTGGAGGTTTAAAAAATTAGAAAGCCCACACAGACGGCAGTCTTTCTACGAGTTTCCAGCACGTTTTTCTCTAAGGTGGTCACGTGGTTAAACAGTATTTTTTTTTCTTATCTCTGTTTAAAAAATACATGTTGAGTTTTTTTTTTTTTTTTTGCTTTATGTTGTTTAGTTTATTTTTTAAATTCCTGTTTAGATTCTTCATTCTTCAACCATAATTTTTTAAAAATCTTCTCCATCCCGATCTTTGGTCTAAATTAAAAAGTAGAATGTGCATTAGGTATTTCAGTTGTAACTTTTAGTTTTTGAACACATCTCCGAGCCAACAATCAATCTAAAAAATTAAGATTTTTATTTACCTCGAAGGCCACCAGATTTATTTAATTCACTATTGAAAGAAATCAAAAATAATTTATTTTGTATCCGATCGAAAATGTTGACATTTGTTTTTTCTTTTAATTTCTGTTATTATTGTTTTTAAAATTTTAATTGATTTGTAAAAAAAAATTGTTGACAATTGACATCCATTTTCTAAATTTTGTATTGTATTTAGAAATAAGAGTAATAATCATCGCATCGCGAATATGATTTAATTTTTCAATTGTTCTTAGTTTAAGTTTAATAATACGTAGCGTATTATTGAACTTAAAATAAAAAAATTAATGTTTTGAGTGAAATCTAGAGACCATTTCAAAAAACGTGTCATTTTTCAAATCACGTCATACCTCATTGGAATGTGCCAAAAAGTGTGCGTAAGTTTTCTTTTTTTCAAGCAAGCAAAAACAAAAAAAAACGACTTTATTTAATTACAAGTAATAAAGCATAAAACTAAAATATTCAATGAATACTATTCTATTCATTATTCATTCTGTATTTTAATTTTTGTTTAAGATTGAACTCAGCCCCATGTTAGCCAGAATAATCATATGGTACACAAATTAAGAGGAATTTTTCATTATATAGGCGGGGTTGTTTTGGATTTTAAAAAAATGTTTTGTTCTGGTTGAATGTTCTTATTTTAGAATTTGTTATCAATCAATAATGCTCTTAAAAGTAAATAGCATAATTACTTGACTGACCCAGTTCGTTTACCAGTAATCGAGAAACAGTTGTCTGACGACAGATTGGAACATCAGAAGAGAGAGAGAACAATATAGCAGCAGAAGCAGCAGCTACACCCCCGTTACCACCCACTTAAATTATTATTATTACTACCTTTGACTTTTTACTTTAAATATTTTCTTCCATAATTTTACATTCCTTAAACTACAGAACCAAAATTAGATGTGTGTAATACGAGAGTTTAGTCTGGACTCGGTTAAAAATAAATAAAAGTGCGGATTTCAGAGTGGGCTTCATCCGATTCTTATTTAAAAAAACAAAAAAACAAAACAAAAAAGAACGGTGTTGCCATCACACTCAGTCATAAAAAATACATTTTTGAGAATAACGATTTTCAACCTTAGCCTCTTGATTTTTTTTTGTCAACTTTAACTAAGTAAGTGGCAGGTTTAAGGCTACAAGCAAATGCACCTCCTCATGTTGCTATAAAATGGTCAAGGGAACAAAAGTAGTGTCAATAAACTTCTCCCATCATGGGCTTAAAAATAAACAAGTCTTAGGGATCTGAAAGATAAATATTTTTGTAGATAGATTGGTGAAAGAAACCATTTAATTGTAACTTATGATCAAATTTATAACTAAGCTTCTATCCTAAATTTTTTTTAATTAACTTAGTAATTTAGCTTTAATGATGATAGTAATAGTCCTACAATTTTTGTGTTTGTGTAATGAGGTGTGAAAACGGAAAAAGTACAAATTCTTCCAGCAATAGTGATATTGGGAAAAAAATCTGTTGAAAAAATAAAACAATTCCGATCTACCATAATCCATGGAGATTTTTTTGTCACTTTTACTTTTTAAAATGAAGCATTTGTTAAGCAGGAAATGATTATTTTTTTAATGCATTGAAAAAATCAATTTTCAACATAATATCGTTATGTTGCTATTTTCATATCCATACCTACAAATGACTTGGCCTGTTAATTTGTTAAAACTTCAATATTTGATGCAGTTATGCATGGATACTGGTCATAATTTGTTTCCTTTCGACAATAATTATTTTTAAGTAACTCAAGAAAATAATTTGTTCATTACATATTTTCTGAAAAAAATTTCATTTAAATTACATATGAGCCAATGTTATGTTTCAATTAACTCACTAGCATTCTGATCTTCTCACTTATAAAACACTTGTTGCATAAATGGGTTAAATGTGCAATGTTTATGCTCTGATCTGTTATTCACAAAATGCCTGTCTTCAGCAAGAGCAACAGTATCATTCCCAAATTTTTGTTTCATCAGAAATCAAATCCAGCTCTCATGTCATCTGTCCTGTCCTTACACAAATTCAAATACAGTGTGCAGCAGAAATACCACCCACATAATTATAAAACATTATCTACATGAAGACATCATTGTCAATTGCCTAAGTTCACTAGTACCACACAGGTGACAGTTTAAAATGTGGGATGTATTTCTGCCACATCCTGTAGCTAATTTTTTACCATTATGCGGGAGTTATTTCTGCTGTACACCTTCTATTCCTCCACATCACTAACATCTCTCACCTTCTTGCATAAGAAGAAATCTCTGACTTGAATCTCCTTGCATCAAACATAATTTATTGTTCTAATCTAATTGTCTTATAAAGTCTTTCAAATTCCAGTCTTCATTGTTTGTTAATCATTTTCATAGCTGGATGCTGATATATTTTTCTATATCTGAATCCTGATGTTTTAATTTTTCATCCGAAGGTATCTATGAAATGAAACCCTGTTTCTGCTTTCTCATCATGATCAGATAAATCTTTGGATCTACTAACTCTATTTTTAGCTTCATAACTTTCTGGATGATAAAACTTTTTTTTTTTTTTTTTTTTTTTTTTCCTTTTTTTTGCCATTGCCTTCTGACAATAAATATATGTTCAGTTATTGCATGTTGTGATAGGTTCTGATTCAAAAGTGCAACAAACCTACATAATCCAGAATCAAAGAGCTTTAGTCTCTTTCCCAGATTGTGTAGACTTTACACCATTTTTAGCAAGAACAGAAACTGATAAATTGAAATTTTAACTTTTCACATCATGTGAGTTGTTTAAAAATTAATGGAAGCAAAAAATTTCACTGAAGTTCCATTAAAATTAATCAGCTCATTACTATTGAACGGTGTTTATAAATTGACTAACCTAAAGACGATAAATGGGAATAAATTCATTCCAAGCAAGGAAATTATTCAAAATTCCCACTTGTTGCACACTGTATATAATATAGTTCAATTGGTTAATGGGTATGTATATACACTTTCTTAAAGTCTTTTTCCAAAGATTTTATTTTCATATGAGACAAGTGTATATAATTTAGATTTTATATTAAGGGAAAGAAGTATGACAAAGTGAAAAAGATTTTAGTGTGGCATGTTTCATTCTTCAGGACACCATTGGACTTAAGTTTATATTTACTGATTTTATATTAAGTATTTATTGGAATATTAAAACCTTTCTTGACAAAGAAACATAGCAATTAGTGTTACATAATATTTTGAGGAGTTCTATAAAACTGCTTTTTATTTGCAGTGTAGATCAATAAATCTTGTGATTTAGTGTCCAGTCATAAGTGCGTTGTCTTGTTAACAATTCACTTGAGAGGAAAAGGTGGTTTCAACATGAAGAAATGCCAATATGCATTACTCTAATATACTAATCAAAAATTAAATTTTGAACTGTTGTTACAGTTTACAAGTAATCTTCTTTCGTGTGCCTTGTTCATTCAGGACATAAGCGATCATAGCTCTCCACAATTTCCTAACCTTTTTAGCTTTTAGCAATTTTTGTCTTTTTATTATCCCTCACCCTTCTGCCATCCATTTAAACAAACTCTTTAGGTTACTCACTCTTTACCTCTGCCCCTCTTTTCTTCAGTATATCCTGCAAGTATTAAATTTTTCAATCCCTCCTTCTGCACTATAGGTCTTAGAAATTTCAGTTGTCTCTTTCTGATTCTATGTCTTTGTTTTCATTTTTCTTAAAGCATCCTCATTGTTCACATGATTGTTATATTATATTGTAGTCCTGGGTGTGATGATAAACTACATCTGGCAGCAAGGCCTCTGATTGGGAGGTTTTGAGGAGTGTGAAACCATCTCTTAATTGCTGTTATTTCCA